AAATTAATATCACTTTCTATTTACTATCTTGGTATGATTTTACTAAACCAATTACAGCTGTATCTGGCATATCCTTTTACAAGTTTAGGATCACTCTGTTGCATTTCCCTGTTGACATTTCAGACGTAGCACCTACTAGGAGCTTGTGTGCTTAGAAAAGCAGAGAGCTAGCAGGCCATAAATGAGTGTTAGGATGGTTGAATTCACACTTTCTCTGTGAGAGCACTGGTGAGTGCAAAATAACACAAGTGACCTACACTAAAAGGGTAGAAGAGTTATTAGATAAAAGGCTAGGACTGGAGACTGTTGAAGGGGAATTAAGGGGCTGGGGAGCTTACATAAGGAGATGCTTGAGGCAAGGAGCTTGAAACCAGTTATGGGTGGGGATAGGGGTGGGAGCAAGCTGAGGAAACAAGCTGATGACTCTGGGTTGAGGCCAACATCAGTTCAGAAGAGTTGTTCTGCCTTTAGGGAACAGTCTCTCCTAAGGGTGGTAAAAGGTAAAAATAGAATATATGAACTGCCAGATCAGGCTTAGGCAGCTTGGAGGGTTTTGGTTGGATGTAAGTGAGGCAGGGCAGGGTCAGAGTGCATTGGCTGATCAATAAGTCATCACATACAAGCTGTGCAAGACTCCCTTGGGGAAATCCCCATATATGATCTGATTTGAAAATGGTTAGTCAAGGTGAGGCTGAGGAAGTTTCAGTATCCTTTTTTGGGACGTGCCATTTCATGCATTGCATCCAGTTTTGGTTATCTGCATTGCAGGAGAAGGAGCTCAATTAGGAGCAGCATGTTGTGCTTGTACATCAACACGAAGACTCTTCCCAGAGGCAGAGTCTCTGACCTGTGACTGTGTTTTTAGGCAGAGCCAGGCAACCTTTCTTCCATCAGCAGTCCTCTCTTACTCTTTTCTTAAGGCATTCTTCTTCTCTTCTTCTTAAGTCTTAGGTTTGGCAGTTAACCAAGTTGAAAAGGACCCTTTGAGGTCAAAGTAAGCAATATTTAAGAAATCTTCTAAAAATGTTTGCTACAGGAGGAGAGGGGACAAATGGCAGCTGTCTTTCCAGCATCCCATCTGTGTGGTTAAAATGCTTTACTCTTGTTGAAACGCTTTCTGTACCAAGCTGAAGGCACTCTTTTAAATATTCAGCTTGATCTGTCTTGTTTACCTGTCATGAAGAAAAGAGCTGGTGACCCCCATTACAGACTGCATGGTACACCAGGTGAATATCTGAAACAGCAGAGAGATGAGAACATGAGCAGTGGTGAAATTTTTCCTTTCTCAAGTCTTAGATTAGGAAACAGCAACATTCCCAGGTTACTGCTTAGAGGCACTGTATTAAGAAGATCATTACCAGCTTCCTGCAATACTTAGTAGAAACCACACATAATATTTACACATCAAAACACTTCTGTCCATAATGTTTGACAGCATTATGCTGCAGAATTTAGCCTGAGTTGCTGTTTCCCCATTGTGCCCCATATAGTGGAGATAGAACTTGACTGTTCCATTGCTCATGTTACAGTTATCAGGAACTTTTCTTTCTGCGATAAAGGACTTTGAGAAGCAGCCTGTGAGCCAGCTTAAGCTTCATGTTTCTCATACCCAGGTCTGCATTTGCTATACAGTAATAGCATGGCTATTTGGCTAATTAGTTGGCTATTTATCTGATTGACTCTCCTAAGAATATGAAATGCTGTGAAATGCTTCAGAAAAAACATCCCCAGAGTTTTCCAGATAAACTTCGTGCTGTCTCGTTGGAAGGGAAACTTCAAACCCCATTGGCTTTGTTTCAAAGTAAACTAGAAACTGGTATGGAAACTCATGCAATAAGCTGTGTTCTCAACTCATCATAGAGAAGCATTGCACATTGAAAGCGTTAGCCAACATCGGTGAGAAGTGGCATCCAGAATTTCTGAGTTGCGCTGTTTCCATTCCCTGTTTATCAGGTAAGACATCACCAACCCTTCAGCCTAATGGAATAGTGTGAAAACTGCATTTATTTAGTGCTTACAAAATGCCCACGTTACAGAGCTGAACACCGTAGGAAACCCCATGAAGAATCAATTTTCACTCTCTCCAAAGTAGTGCACAGCAAATAAAGCCTGAAGCCAGATAGTGAGCAGTGGAGGAGAAACAAAATGCTTACTCATCAGCAGAGCTTCACCATCTAATCACAGAGAAAGGCAAAGAATCCATGGGAAAAGATTTCTGGGTAATCTCTGTAATTTAGGGATGTGCAGAAGGTTGAAGAGGAGTGGGGAAGGCAGACTTATGTTTGCTGGTTTTTAGCACTGAACAATTTGACTTTGCAGCATTAATGGAATCATAGAATATCTCATGTTGGAAGGGATCCATAAGGATCACTGAATCCAACTCCCTGCTCCTTACAGGACTACCTAAAACTAAATCATATGACTTAAGAGTAGCATGGAGATGGTCCTTGAGCTCTTGACAAGGTGACAAGGTTTGGGGCTATGATCCTGGGGAGCTTGTTCCAGTAGCCTGACGACCCTCTCAGTGAAGAATGTTCTCCTAATGCCCAACTTCAGTAACGTTGTATTAATGTTAATCATTAAAGTGGATGGTACGCTAATGAAGCCAGAAGGTTGTTCAAGTCAGTCTTACTGCATCCATTAAGCTGTTGTAAGCAACAACAGGAAAACCATGCAGCATTATTTGTTGTTTCCTTAACAGGCCATTATAAAACATCTGTATGCCTGCTGTCAGGGCTGCAGGCAGCCACCAGTGTGCAAAATGATGAAGTACTGCATTTCTTCCATTACCAAGATGAGGGTTCTTTCTGTTATCCTGTTTTTTAACATCTTGAAGGGATATGGCCTTGAGGAGAGGAGGCAATGTCTTGGGTCTGTCTGGTCACTGTCACCACCAGACAGCTATGTAAATAGAAAAACGCCACTTGAATGAACAGAGTCTGGGAGTTGGTGAAAGGAAGTTCATAGGTTGCCACAGTTAGACAACAAGGGACATTTGAACAACACAGAACCAAGAATGTTCCCAGAGGAAACAGCTGTGAAGTTTTCTTTTTGGTTATGCAGCTGCCAAGAGTTTGTGTTCATTTGGTCACTTGCATAGAACAGGAGACCCTCACAGACTGCTGAGAGGAAAAGAGAAGGGAATGCTTCATCCATGAAACTCTGCTGCTTTATGTTAAATGGAGGAAAAACTCTAACACAGTGTATGGGGACAGCAGCTTTGTATGACTGAAGTTAGATATTTGATTTGTTGGGCAATGCCATCTTTTGTATTTCTGGAAGTAGAAGCCTACTGAGGATTGCAAGGAAACAAATCCATAAAGAAGCTGAATGTGGAGGCCATTGCTCTGGTATTGGAGTAGTACTGGAGTAATATCAACACCATCAGAATCTCCAAGCATGCATTAATTTTCTCCTTGTGTTATTTTCTTTTCGTATGAAACCAGTGAAATGCTGTCTGAGTCAGCTAAGAAAGGTAGCATTATGTTTATAATTCTCTATAAATGTAGGCCCTGATTTGTATCATGATTTTGAAGATAAAGGAGACCTTGTCTTTCAGATATCACAGGAAGCAGTTAAAAGATCAAGAGTCTGAATGCTGTCAGACTTGTAATTAGGATAATAGTAACATCTGTAGAGCACTAAGTGCTTGTGTTAGCACATGAAAGGCCCAGAGGCATTTCCTAGGGATGCCTTTAACCCAAGTCTGTGGTTCAGGAAGCTGCTTCCACATGTGATTGTTCCAGCTGAGAATGGTACCCATGTAACTTTTAAATGCATATTTAAATCAGAACTCATATCTGAAGTGATTTGGGAAATGTGCAAAATAAGGCAGATCATGGGCTTTGCAGTCTGCTGAAGATACTAAAAATAGGTCAAATAAATTGCATGACCTTAACTAAGACATTCTCAGCTACGTGTCTAGAATAGAGTTAATTTGCAGATTCAGTTGTCTGAATCTAGCCATTTATATTGTAGCTGTATGACATCAATTCCATAGCTTCAGTGTAGGGCTTAAAGAGGTATACAGCCCAGTCTAAACTAAACATCTGCATTTGGTTTTGCTGAACTGTTTTCTACATCCATTGACTATGATGGGAGCAATGATGCCTAGATCACATAGCAATCACTTGCTGTGTAGGCACTTAAAAATGCATATCAGTTTCTGGAGCCGAATCCCACTCCTAAAGTTTAGTGAGATGAACTCGTCCACAATGGCAGAGCATAAAAACTGTTCCCTGATAACCTGGAGATGAGAGCATGCTAGCCTGGAGCCAGATATTTTCTTTATGGACCAATGAAACACTCTTCATTCAACAGAAGTATTCCTGTTGTAGTGGAGTCACCAGTCAAGCAGGATAGAGCTGCTCTAACCTTTTTCATTTGTATTATTGACAATGTTCGTAGTCTGTCAATGCTTAGCATGAGGAGAGGTTCATCTCTCTACTTTATCTATGCCATCATTTCATCACTAAAGGAAGTTGGTATCCACACCAATGTGGCTTATCCCATGGACCACAGAAAGAGATTGACGCCAAGACCAGATTAATGTTTTCTCCAGCATCTGTATTTGTCATGGTTTGGTCACTGTTGCCTAACACAGTTCTCTCTTTATGATGTTGGTACCTGGAAAAACTACCTTGGTGAACTGTATTCTAAAAGCTGTCTTTTGATAAACAGAGATAACAGCTGGCTGTCTGGTTATCCAGGAACTTGGGCTGAACCCCTGACCCTAATGTGTTTAGATACACAGTATTTCCCTATGGTCTGTCTCTCAGAGCAATGTTCTGATGATTGTCTTGGTGCTGGTCCAGCTAAGGTGGAGTAAGGAAGCACAGCACTGCTTTTCTCCTTATTCAATGAGTATTAGTTTTCTGGGAATAACAGTGCTATGGTGGGAAATGTTTCATTTTCTACAATACTTTATCACAATGGCATTTCTTAGTAATCCTCTTTTTCCCCAAATCTATCATCTCATGGTCTTTTTTATTTTCTTACAGGAGGAGCTGGGCATTGCCTGTGAGTTGCTTGAGTCAGATTTCCTCAAGTGCAGCGTGGGATTTCCTTTCATGAGATCGAAATCTAGGGTAATGTTGTGATGCTTCCATTTGCAGAGTGATGGTCCAGTCACCTCTTTGTCTCCAAGGAGTGGCCAGAAAGGCAACTGCTCTGTTAAATGTCTGTGACTGATACTTTTGCTAGCTTTCTAACACAAGATATCCAAGCCTTGCACAGTTATGGAGGGTAGGTGTCCTCTTTCCCACCAGATAGAGCCAATGACAGAACCTTGTGCGCTACAATACAGTTCTCTTCAAAAATGATCCATAGTTGCAACTATGAAAACCGTGCATACTTCTGCAGAAAATCAGAACAGGACTCTGTCTTATTTAAGTTGCTTTATTTTGTTTTTATTTTTGTCTTCTCTTACATTAAAGTGCAACTGAATTTGTACACATTACAATGAAAATGCCTTAGGGACTTTTTCGTATTACAGACTCCTGGTAGCTTTGCAAGATTTTGTTTGGTAGACTAAGATGAACTCTCTGATGATGTTTAGAAATTCAGCCGTGTTCTTTCTGTCACTAAACCAAGCTGTACAAATGACCAACCCAGAAGGGTGAGAAGATGAGGTATAACTTCAGGATGACCTGAACAAAATCAGTCTGATTTTTTTTTCAGAAGTTTTCAACTTCAAAACCTAATTCTTTCCATTTGAATTGACCTTTGACCTGACATGATTTTTTTTTGGTTTATGAGTTTTATTGACTGTAGTATGCTCTTTTGAAGCATTTAAAAAGATTTTAAATGAAATGGCTAAAATAAGTGCAGTAGCAAAATATTATCTGGAATAGAATAATCTGAGGGTTTTGCTCCAGGATCACATAGTTGGGTTATTTTCATTTTTTTTTCAGCAAGCTGTTGAAATCACAAATTTGGAAACTTTCACTTTGCCAAAACCTGTTCTGGAGTTAGGTAGAAAAGTTACTGCATGGAGAAGTTAAAGTAGTGCTGCAGTGGTCATCATAGATTCTCTTTTCAAAATGAACACCTGATTTTATCCATTATGGTGAGTGGCCATAAAGCTTTAGCTTGTGCTAGTCGCTCCAAGTCTCTGTGCAGGCCTGAGGCATGATCTTTATTCCCCTCAAAATACCTCTTCACCAGCAAGTAACAACATAAAGGTTAGTGCTGAGGTAGTTTCGGGTAGAGATCCTTTTATACTGGAAGACCCTTTCCCTGGCAGATGATCTCCTCAAGAGATCTCCTCTTCCTTTGAATGACAATTCCAGTAAAGGCCCTTTCACAATAAAGGAAAAATCAGAGATGCAATTGCTAAGATTTAAAAGCTACACTACAGTAGAGGAAAATCTCTCACGTGTATCTAAATGCGCTACTTTTGTACAGCTAGGCCAGTAAAATATATGGGAAATTTCAGAATAAATGCATTTTGAAACTATATTTGTCTCTAAATACTGCTTTTTCTGTGCACAGTATGACTTCAGTGTGATCTTTGATACGAGCCACTTGTCTGGGCAGGAAGAAACACTTACCTTCCTTGTCACTGCACAAAGGTAAGGGAACCTTTGTACCTCTTGATGACTTGAATATCCTTTGTTACATGAAGTGTGCATTGCATATGCTTGACAGTTCTGTGATGTTAGTGGTAAATGTGTATGTGTGGTAGATGAGGTTGAATTTCTGGGGCTAAATGCATGCATTTTGGTAATATAGAGGAACCATGTGACACAGCTTCCTGAAAAATGAGGTAGGATCATACTTAGGCTTTCTCTTCCAAGCAGTTGCAATTCTGAAGGAGCAGTTTGTGTTCTCTCAAATGGAAGGCCTTCGTGTTTCTGTACCCATCCCTTTGGGCCCTGTATCAAGCTCAGCTCAGCTGCGGTTGACAATCAGCACCAGGCAGGCACATTTGTTCCAGCATTTGAATGAAATAAGCATGTTTGGATGCAAACCAAAAAAGATAAATGCTTTCATCAGATGGTCAGGAATCTCACTGACAGTTTGCAAAGTTGCATGTCTATTTTTTCCCCCTATGGATCTTCAGTGATCTATGACAGACTGCATGAAACAGCTGAATAGGGTATTTCCCCAAGGGCACTTGGAGCAGGCATTGAAGTAGGGTGATGCCAAGTGTGCATGCATAGTGATTTTTATCTTGGGCAGAATATGAGGTGTGACACATTCTCTGTGCCTCCTAAGATGATTTGTCACAAAGATGCAGACTCTATGGGTGATTCGGTCACAAGCATTGTCAGGGTGTATATGAAACAGAATAACTGATGATAGCACAGCTGTGTTAACCTGGGCCATGATGTGCTAGGTGTGAGATTAGTTCCTGATTCCCTTACTGTGTGAGTATGCCAAATTCATACTCTCCTGTGTCAAAACCAGGGCCTCCAGCCTGAATTCTCCTCCCCAGTTTGATGATGCCTCACCAAGTAGTTGGAGAGGAGAGAGAATCTGTAGCAGGTGCTGAGTGATTGCTCTCATAGAGCACAGTCCTCCTCTTGCAGCAGCAACTGTAGGTGGGAACAAGATCCTGCGGCACGTGGTGCTGGTATGAAACACTGAAAATGAGACCTCGTATTAGAGAGGCAAGACCATGTCTTGCACATAAAAGAGGTTTTATTCTCCGTGAGGAGGAGTCCATAGTGTGTTCAGATGGCCTCGTGATGCTTCTAGGTCAGGGAGATTCATCAGTGTCTGTTAGGTGAATGCCAGCTGGTGCAAAGATGGGTCTGCAGTGCTTTAAGTTTGCCCATCCAGTGTTTTCCAGATTGTGCCACTCATTTCCCTGCCTTGGATAGCACAGGGATTTCCTCTGTAATCTCACTCCTCACATTTCTGTGCCCCACCAGTGAGAAGGGTTAGTCAGTGCCTTTAGATGGAGCAAAGAAATAAATAGTAGTTTGTACACATAGTCTGAATGCTCAGAGGGGTTTAGGAGCAAGTTTCTCATTTCAGAAGGATGGGCAGGAGGACAGTTGTGTTTTGAAGGATTCAGCTGAACCTCCAAAGACAACAGTGCATGTCCCAGTGCTGATTACCCTAATTTTCTCTGTGACTTTGGGCAAATAGCTCAATTCCCATGCTGTGAAATAAGGATAATAAAATCTTTCTACCACAAGAATTGCAGGGAGCCTTGGGGTAAAGTCGGTGACAAAGAAATGGAGAGGAAGTGCCTGTGTTGTGGCCAGACTGCAATGACTGGGGACATTGTTTCCACACAAAACCAAAGCTAGTCTGGCTGAACTGGCTGGACACAGAAAACCTGTGACATGCTGTCATGGGAAAGTAAGCTTTGCCCTTCAAGAGGCCACTTAAGCCTGTTCCTTGAAGCTGCAATTCTGGCAGTAGTACCTGTAACAAGAGACTGGTTCAACAGTAGGAGAGATCAACTGGACAGAGATCTGAATGTTACCTTACATTTTCTCTTTTTGCTTAGAAAACCAGCAACAAAGCTCCAAAGCCTTTTCTGCGCTTCATGGTGTGAGCTATTTTTCTAGAGCTAGATTCACTGCGCTGTATTCTCCTTTTCTGACAGTACCTTTGATCCATTTGAAACAGATGAGCATGTACCCATGAACCTTGTATAGAATTCTACTTGCTTATTTTGTTTGCCACCATGGTATCTTCTCGGTATTTGTGTTGGATGAGAAATGTCTCCAATTTGGACTCTTCTTCAAGCCTGTTCAGAGGAAAACCTTTTATTAAGTGTTTTTTTCCTGGGACTGGGATTTTGTGGGTTTTTCCATCTGGGCCATAGTTTTATTAGGAGTCATGGCCAATGTGTCAGTTACAGAAAGCGGAGCTCGATCTATGCATGTATGTAGCCAGCAGGCTCTGTTTCTGTAATCTGAGCAACTCATCATCTGCACGGTATCACTTGGGATGTTACTGCCTGCTGTTGCCTCAGTGATACTGTCCTCAAATAAATAGGATCATATCTTTCGCTTTGCCAGCTTGATTTGTGAGTAAATCCAATGAATTGCAAGGCAAAAGTGATTCCAAAGTCACTGCTGGAGAAATTAGAAAGATATGTAACATACTTCTCAAGATTATTGTTCTGAGCTGTCACTCACCTAGCAGACTCACCATCAGAGTTGGAATAATTGCAGGTTTGCACGTTGGACATGCATTTCACAGGCACCTTTCACAGACTTCATACAAAAGCGCTCACACTGAAATAAACTGACTCAAATCAGAGATGATTGCACACTTTTCTCTTTCCTCCTTCTGCTTTTGACCAGTTGAGGTAGCTACCTTTGAAAATGTAAAGTAGAAGTGACAGCTAAGTACAGAAAGAGGGGATGGAACTGCTGAGAGATTGTGTCCAGTTTAGTACGAGGGTCTCATCCAAAAAAGCTGCTTGTAGTGGCACCAAATTGATGCTGTGGTACAATGCAGGTATATGGAAAGTCAGGACCCTCTGTGGGGTGTATGTATCCCTCCCAAACTGATTTGCAGTCAGGCTGGGACAGAATCACCCCTTGCATTGGAGTCTAAATGTCCTTGCTTCTCCCCACTGCGCATGATGGCTGCTGTAGTTTTATACTGCCATTTGAATGTGCACTTTACTCCAAGATAGGTTTTTTGGTGTAAGCCACATCGTGTCACACCACGATGAGCTACACAGGAGCAATCACAATGCACATCCTTTATGTGTGTGCCCTCTCCAAGGTGGGTGAACAAATGTAGCTTTTAATCTTTAGGAGGCTTCTTAAGGAGCTGACATCACTCAAATATAGAGGCTCAGGGTAGGAAGGCAGAGAGATGGTAGCTGTGAAACTGTGTGATATATTGCAAAGGCTGTCAATTTTGTAGCATGTTTATTTTTCCTTTTTTTCACAGTGGAAACCTAGAACGCACTGAATCTCTGCATGATAACACCCTAACCCTGTCGGTGCCCCTGATGCATGAAGTGGACTCATCTATCAATGGGTAAGTACCAGTCACCAGATGAAAACAACAAAAATAATGATAATCCTAACAATAACATCTGAGTCTCTTCCAGTGAAAAACTGAATTCTTCCCTTTGTTTACATGTAGCAGAACTGTTGCTTTTTCCCTGTTTCCCAGACTCTGGTCATACAGACAAACTCATTCATTATCTGGGAATTTTATTTGTCATGCCTTTCATTCCAACACTGTACCTCTTTCTCACTCCTTAGAGAAACTCCATTAATTTAATGCTAATTAGTTACCATGACGTTGGTAGTAACTACCAGACTTTAATTCATGGGATTCTGTAGGTATGATGGACCTTAAAATAAAACGAGAGCAAGTAAATCACATCTTGTTCCTTAGGTCATGTCTTAAAGGATATGGTTGAGAATCCATCACCATGACAAAGGTTAGGGTCAAATGTTCTGGGATTTTAAGGAACTTGGTGGAGTCCAGCTGTTTGTCTTTCTGTTTAATTTCACAATCAGAATTCATTTCTGCTTCTGCTCATTTTACCACTTCCTCTGGTCCCAAGTGTGTGAGGCATCTGAGCAGCAACTAAGGAATCACCCTTTGACTGAATTACTTGTATAATACGTAGCCACTGTCCTCTCCCCATGGTTGCTCATGTATGAGTTCCTACTGCCTTTGTACTCAGGGGTTTTCCCTTCCACTTCTGCACCCCACAATCTTAAGTGTAGAATAAATGGTTTGTGGTTGGTCCCCACAGACAGACTGTCCTCTAGCATAGGCTGTGCTTGAGTTATAATGGGGGACCTGGTCACTCGTGGTGAATTAGAGTCCACATACATTGAGAAAGCTGACATTCATTAAGAAACTGGGGAAGCAAAAAATAATCAGTAGTGTCTCCAAGAGGTCAGTGTCTGGTTTAACCACCATTTATGACAATCCCCAGGGAATACATATTGTCAAAATGACCAGTGCAGTTTAGCATCAGTAGAAGTCAAAGGTTCCTTTGACCAGCATGCTACATATGAAGGAACAACGATACCTGCACTGACATGTGGTTTGGCTGAAAAGCTGGGTAAAATCAGCTGCGTGAAGCTGATTTCCTCCCTTCTTACATAGAAATAAAATCCCTTAATTACTGACACAATAGTCAGAATGGGCAGAAGACATGCTTAAGCTTGCTCAGAGAAGTGAAGTGCACCGTTAGACCTCACAAGATGACTAGCAAGGACAAAAATCTCCTCTATATTGCCAGTACAGCCTCAGCAGCATGTTCTGGAAGTTTTTGAGTGCTTTCATAGTTGCAGGTTGTGTAGAAACTTAACTCTGTGTCCCTTGCTTCTTGATGCTTTGATAAAGATGGATTTTTGTACAGCTTTACAGATACAGATGCTTTCATCTGTGTCCTTAGATCTCGCCTACAGAGTACTGCATGCCAAAAAAACTGATAAAAATGGGGCTCTTTTCTCTCTCTTCATAACGTACTATTTGTAAAGCACAAGGTCTCTAAATTTCTAAGCCCCACCCAACTGATTATGTAGATTACTTTATTCTTTCTCATAGACAAGGCTTATTTAATTCAAGTTCACAGAACTACCAGGAAAAAGTTGGGTTCATTGGAGGGCACAATATCCCCATGCATGGTAATATTAGTAATACTCTTTTTGGGACAGTCTATTTTTAAAGTTACTTTTGTTAGCTACCATGTATTTCAGTCTACAAGAGCAAACTTCATTCCTGCTCATAAACAGCCCGGAAGGGCTTGTACCATGTCTGGGAGGAGCCTTCTGGCACAACACTGTTAATGGGATAAATAAATCTGTCTCCTGTTGTTTCCCTAGCAATTTCTGGCATAGGAGGCAGGCAGGAAAAAAGGAAATGTACCTAAACAGGCTTAAAATCCTGTCACAAAAAACTCTGACCCAAAAGGACAAACTGGGAAGGAAGCAGAGTTTTAGGCAGTCCCTCACCAAGGTTTGTCCTGAAACTAGGACCTTTTCAAATCAGTACAGCAGCCCCAGATTAAAAGGACGTACAAAGGATGCTTAAAGCACTCCTAGTCTTCTTCTGCAGGGTTTCCAGGTACTGTTTGTGCCTCCAAGTCTTTTCTGATAAAACCCTACTGTTTTTTACTCTGTGATAAGATGATAAGAGTAGTTGAGGAGACTTGGCCTGTGCCACTGTAGTTGAAAGAAAGTTATATCCCCCTCTACTCTTCCCTTTAACCATCTGTTAATCATAAAGGTAGTGAAGCTCAGATAATTAATGAAGTGGGTTTTTCCTGCAATGCTATGTAAATACTAGATAAAATTGGAATGTTACTTTAGTGGATACTCAACTGAAAGTATTCCTATTAGTAACGGTTTCTTCAGATTAACTTGTTAGTGCAATGATTTCCTGTATTGCACAAGCTATTGGACTCTCAGAAATCATCCATTTCAGGGGCCCTGGAGAAGAGGTTTTGTGATAGGAAAGGAGAAAAAGAGATAAAGTAATCAAAAGAAGTCTGCTTTGGTGGTGGGATGTTAACCCGGGTCAGTTGAGATGCCACTTGTGTAGTTCAGTGTTGTCAAGAGAAAATTAAATCACAAATAATAAATTAATATTAAATGCTCTCATAGAATTTCATAAGACCTGAAAGCAAGGGGTGCAATTCAGCTTGCCACAAGTGTATTTAATTTTGGCGACAAACACAGCTTACTAAATTTGTGTCTTGATCTTTCAGAGAAGTCTTCCCTACTTCATTTTTCTATGGTGATTCTGTGGAAGCGTCCAACTTTGTTCAGTTGGAAAACCATGAATGTCATTTCCAGTCTCTCAACTTCACACTGCAGGTAAAACTGATCCTTATTTTGATTGCTTTCCTGCTTGACAGCTCTTTCTGGTTTTGTATCTCTTTTATTCTGAGTGATGTACGGTCCTTGGGGCATGTTTCCGAATCACAGTATTCTGTCGAATGCATTGTTGATTGGCTGCCATATGTACAGTGTGAAGGGGTGGTGTGTTTTCTTATATCAAGAATTATATCAAGAATTGCAAGTAGTGTATCTTACTTCCACAGGAATGAAGATACTTCCATTTGTTTTTCTTTTACCTTTCATCATGCTCTCAGTAAAGAGCTCTGGTTACTCAAGTGCTACATCTTGGATGTAGTTGCAGGTTTACAAGGGAGGAGTAACTGTTTTTAGTAGCATGGTCATTGAGGAGTGGGCAGCTTTTATCCATGAGAACAAACATATACACATGCAAGGATTCAGACTTGCTATATGCCCCTGGTATGAAAATGTTTGTAGGATTGCTGATAAGAATACAGTACAGGGAAGAGACTGGGACACTAAAAAGACAAGTGTGTGAGGAGGTTTCTTTAAACATCTCATGGCATTGCAGTGTTATTCAAGTATTATCTATAGATTACATTTCACATGGCAGTTAGATGAGTTCCTGATATGGCAAAGTATATGGATGGTTTGTTATAACAAACTCTTGTCATGCAGGCCAAAGGAACTTGTCTTGCTGCTGTGACTGTATCTATTACAAGCACTTTTTGACCGCTAGATGGAACTAGGGAATGATAAATCATGCTGAGGTGGGTGGGGGGAAATCATTTATTGTGAAAAACAGTCTTTCACCTTTTTTCCCCTTTCTGTTCTCCTAGGCATGAATGCCACTCAGCTCATAATGAATAACACATGTCTGCCTCCGTGGACAGACTGTGGTCCAGAGCAATTAAGCCCCCACTGTCATGCAGTGCCCTTAGCTATTTACTGAGAAGGAGTGAAAGCAGGATTTGAGGACATTAAAGCTTTTGTGAACCAGGCTATTAATTCTTGTGATTCTGATTTCATTCTTGTGGGTTTATAGGTCTTCCCTTCCCCCTCTCCCCCCCCCCAGCCAGTTATTGGTTAAAACCTGATAAAGAACAGATGTTCTGGTGCTTTAACTAGATGGATATTTTCAATAAAACAAAGTGATAACAGGTAAAGGAGACAGCATCTATATATTGGCAGGGCCAGCATTTGTCCTGCTTCATCTCTTATCTTGTGTTATTATTAACACACTTACAAGTTGCCCTATGAGTAATTTTTTTTTCCCACATAGAAGTAGAAAATTGAACTGTAACAAGTGACAGATCTGCTCTCCAGTAATGCGGTAAACCTCATAACTGTGTGTGTCAAAGAGAAAGGGTAGAGTTTCATAATGGGCAAAGCATGGTTTGTATCACTGCTTGCTTAATTGTTTCTAATGATTTGCCTGCCATTTATTAAACTTCTCCAGATGGAGAAAAGTAATAGTTCCTTAACCAAGAAAAAGAGATGATTTACAAAAATATGGAGCTTTATAGTGGGTTTTAAATGGGAAAATCTCTACCATGTCCAATGTTAATAAGAAAACAGATCTATGCGTCATTTTGGGGAAGGGGTAACAAGATGTGCAATGAAAATGCCTTTTCTGCATTAGCTCTGATATCTGATCTCAGCAAGATAATCAAGTTTTTTAAAATGTCTAACATGAGGCATTATGTTTGTATTTCATACGGCATTTATCATACTCCATTGTAGTGGGATTTCTCCCCCTGCTTGGAGCCTCAGGGTTTTTGCAAGGATTTGGCATTGTGAGCTGATTCTCTCTATCAGTCAGGCATTTCTTCAAATATAAACAGGGTTTGAAGAATGAAAACCTGTTGTGTTTAATATATGGATGTTACACAACTGATTGCTACATCTTCTGACAGTACTGTCTCAGTGTTGATAAATATTCTAATGGGCCTATATTTTTTAACTATATGCAGTTATATGTGTATTGTTAAAAGCAACCAGGAAATATTTTCCTAAAAAAAAACAACAACAAACATAGATAGACATAAAAACTTAATTTCGTTGAAAGTTTTCCAGGAATTATTTCTTTGCAGCAAAACCCCATTGATTCTGGAATTTTCATTTGATGCGATTCAGTGGTCGACTGGAAATTCCTTGAGTTTTTGTTGAAAATTTGTGGGACTTTGAATGAAAGCGAATGTTTTCCACTAAGAGTTGCATTTAACTGGAAACCCCAGAACTTGAATGGAAGTTGTTCACATGCATTTCCTGGCAACTCGGCAAACCCGCAGTCCGGTAGTCACAATCATCGTTACTTTGGCTTCTGCTTCATAAGGAAAACATATGCTGAATCTAATGCAGTGGTTACTAGATGAAAATGAGAATGTTAACTGAGACAGCAGCATTTCTCACGGTCTTATTGATGGTGTTACAAAGCACTCTAGCAGTGTCTTTGTATATCAGGTAGAAGTGTCATTCTATTTGCATTGTTGACTGGTAATTATCCTGCAAAACTGCTTCTCACTGGTGTATGAGTTGTGCTTAAAGACTCTAAGATAAGCTAAACCTTTGCCTTCATCCTAATACTTACAAAAGAAGCGTTACACAGACTCACAGAATGGTTTGAGTTGGAAGGGATCTTAAATATCTTACTAAGAAGACATTGAACAAATTGCATAGTATTTGATTTTTTTCAACTTTATACTCTCAGCCCTGGTTCTACAGTAGCTTCCCATTTATATACAGTCATATGTGTAATTTTTAGACTTTATTTTATTTCTTTATTTTATCTTACAGGTTTACAATGCGGGGCCAAGCACTCTCCCTGGAGCTTTTCTTGACATTTCATTTCCAAACCGCCTCTCTGCCACTGGAGCCGAAATATTTCATGTTCAACAGATGATGGTGAGTACGTTATGATGTGTTGTGAGTCCAGAGAGACACTGAGAGCTGACTGATGTCTGAAACAAAAGAAATCCAGCAGAACTAGATGAATCAGTTGCTTTTTTTAGGTAAGAAGTGGTTCTTTGTGTCTCTGGCCAGGTCATCATAAAAAGCTGAGCCCACCCCACTATTGACTGCTGTCCCTCACCTAGGGCAAGCAGATGGTTGTGTGTTCCTGGTTTCCTACAGTGCAGTGTAAACCTAGATCAGGCTAATCCTGAAGTAAATGTGGAGAATGCTTCACTGAGTCACACCTCCAAAGAGGACTGAGTTTTAATCAGCCCTCTCTGATTAAATGGTGTATGTAATATCAGCAGGATATATTACTAAGATGACTTGCATTCCCCATTTTATTTTGTGGTTATCTGCAAAAGCACTAGCTAGGCCTGAATACAGTATCAATGTCTATTTTTTTTTCTATAGTCAGTGTTATAATCTGTTCCTTTTGAGTGTTCTTTTAACAAATGTAAGTAACAGAGAAAGTTATTCTTTCAACACAATGTATTTCAAAAGATGGTTTCCTGTCAATTGCAAAGAAACAACAAATTGTGGTAAAGGAGACACATTCTTAGATTTCACTTCTAATATTTATTTATTACTTTCAAAGCTTTTGTTAAACCGCTAAAATCCCATCATTTATTCTGTGGTGGCCAAGAGAGGGAAACCTCACTACTGGGGTAAATCTGTTGCTGAAATTCAGAGTAATCTGTCTTTGTAAGATGGAACCAGCTCTTTGGGCTACTTGAAAAGAAGTATTATACTTGCTTTATTGAAGAAGAAAGTATAATTTATTTATTTAAATATTTATACCATATATATATTTATACTTTATTTCTTTATTACCTACTTTTCTAGCCTTTTGGCTGAAAAATATTACCATCCTTTATATTCAAGTAGCTGTGTCACTGAATCTGTGTAAACATAGATCCAATAAGACCTTTCTAAGCAGGTTTCCAAGATTTGTGCTGTTGAAAGGTACGAGATAAACACACATATGACTTACAGATAGGCACAAAAGACAAAATCACTGAGAAACAGGTTTGGGATATTATATGAGACACAAGTATTGTATAGACTAATTGTCCAACTAGACTGAATTAATTCTTCATCCTATGTCTCATTCCCCATGACATTTCATTTTAATGTTTTATTTAGTCCAGGTTTATATTACCCTCCCTTTGACACATTGCCTGTCAAAGGATCGTGACCTGTTTCCTTGTCCCTTTGTGGTCTCTGTGTGCTGTCTGTGTTCAGAGCAGCAGGATAGAGGTAGGAATCTCCTTAACAGATTTTGTCTCAAAACTCAGGCCGCCTACCTTAGGGAGTAATAAATTACTTCTGGGCATTCATTATTTCTCTCTGTTTACTATTCCAGAAGTCTGGGCAAATTGTCTTAGACAAGACACCAGTTTTGTACTCTTGAATTAGCTGAGGTGTACATTACCCACCAACTGGGCAAAGACAAAATCTCAAGGGGTAGTTTGTAATAATTTCTACACAGAACCCTAAGTTACAATGATAAGGATGTGATGGACTCTATGGTATTTAATAGCTGTTAGAAAAACAAGGCAAAAACCTTAAATCTTCCACTTAACTTGTTTTTCATTGCTGTTGTACCTCTGATTTCTTATGTAAAGGAGGTTCAGCTGTGTGGTGTGGTGCTGCGCACTGTGCTAATAAATACTTGCAAGGTTTGTATCCCTTTTTCCCAACAACAGGTTGCATTTTCTCCCACATTATTTGATGTCTCTCTTCTACTCTGTAGTTTGTCTTTGTGGAAATGTCAGACTGCTGTTGTGAGACCTATTTGCATTACAGGCTGAAGAGTGGTAGTAAGCAAGTATGGTTTTATGAGATGTCTGATGATACACTGGCATAACCTGGGTCATTTCAACCCCTGAGTTTGGGTATGTGGTCAGTAGAAATCTAGTATGTGACTTTCTGAGCACCCCTGACATTAATAAATGTTATCTAAGCAACCCCTGTCTGGGATAGTGGTTATCCCTGCTTTACAGATAAATAACAGAAACACCAAATGGTTTGCCTGAGGTCATACAGGAAATTCGTGTCAGAGGCAGGCACTGAACCCATGTCTCCCAAGTCTCTCTATTGTAACAGGAAAGGCATCCTACTCTCTTTCCTCCTGCCTCTCTCCCACTGAGTTTTTATTGACTGAAAAGGGAATTAAAATCATGGAGCTTTTAATCCCTTTACAGACCAAATATACTTAAACACACAAACAAAAAAATACCCTGAAAGCAGCAGGTTGGAATGAACTTTGGAAAATGGGTTAGAACAGCTGTTTTACAAGAGCTTTTTTGTAAGCGTAGTCATTAAATGATTCAAGCTTTTGCTTATTTTGAACTTCCCAGAATCTAGACTGCAATAAAGGTGATAGTATCCTTTCAGACAGTGTGGGTGTATTTGTCATTAATTACACTTTTATACCTATAATCCAGCCATTCGAGGTGTCAGCATTGCTGGACCTTTCAGAATAGCTGTCATTAAAACAAAGGATTAGGAATGGTTATTATCTGTAACTGAAACTGTTAATCCAGCATTTGGGATTTGATTACATCATGGTTATGGCTTCTTAAAGCTAATAATTCTTTTGCCACTTCTCTGATGTACAGTACAGCAGTGAAACTTATGGAGATGAAAATGCATAGTAAAAGCACTGGAGTTTGTCTCTCCTACACACGCACCAAATAAGATAGTGCCAGGAGCTAATTCCTTCATATTGTGTTGACTGATCTGGTCTTTCAGGCACAAAAAGTAATGAGAGTCACATATGGCCCACTGGAACTGTCTGTATCTCTGGGAGTTGCTAACAGGAGTTATTATCTTGCTGCTCTTAGAGGAAATGACAGCCCTCATGCTTCCTCTGTTCCTGTTGCTCTACGCTTTTGGCTTTATTGCAGAAACTGCTTTAAGATTTTCTTCCAGAGAAATTCAGGTCACAGAGATGCTTTGACATGTGGAGTTCTGCCTTGGAGATGTTCATACTCTTCAAGGGGTCTTGGGAGTTTCTGCAACACTTCTCCCAACAAACCCCCAAATATATAAGGGGCATTTGATGTTACAGAGTAGATACCCAAATTCTGCAGTGCTAAATTATTATTGTGGAGGCAGATAAGACAAATTAATACTCTTTTATTTAATGTATTTTTGTATTTGCTTTCTTGCAGAAGTTTCAAGCCAGGTTAAAACCATAATAAATGAAATAGCTGGTTTGTAAAAGTGTTGTGATAGGAACGGTATAGGCGATGACACAGAAGAGCTTCACCCAAACAATGGCTCTTCAAGCCATTGATTATCTCTTCTTCCACAAAGGAAAACAGTGCTCATTATACTTGTGTGCGTGTTAGTTTTGAGCTGAAAGATTAGTAATTTCCTTTGGGTATCCAGCTAATTTGCAGGGCAAGGGAAGCGTTATTTGACTTGCCAGCCAAGGAGCTGCTTTCCAGGGCATCCAAAAAGATTTTCACAATGGGAGTTCCTACAGAATTAACCAGGGTATTTCCTGAAGCTGTTGATAAATTAGCAATGTGTCCAGGATCGCTCTGATGCTGGCATTATGGAACTGGATCTGATTGTTGCCTTCCTATTTGTTTTATTTCCAGCAAAGGTAAACACAATTATGAGGAACGAGGGATTAACAGTTGGAAACCAAGTTTATCTGTTTGAACTGAAATCTAACTGCAGTGCAAGCAGATGATCCTCACCCCTCCTCTGGAGGGACCAAGCTCTGCTTGGCTGCCAAACTGTTTAGATGCCAGTTAGACAATTGTCACCAGTATCAAAGATACATGGTGTTAACCCAGAGCAAGTCCCGTATACATCTGTGGTGTTATGGAAAGGACTATCGCTCCTTCTATTGCATTGTGCGGGCCAGCAAGCGCGTTTAGGTGAATCAGTACTGAGGATATAAAGAACTATATGTCACTGTTGCTAAGAATCTTGTTAGAAAGAGAGATGCACATGTTGCAAGACAGTCTCTTCAAAGAGTCTGCAGTCTAGGCAATGAAATAAAAGGGCATTTGGAGGAAGGGAGGAGAATGAAAGAAATACTGTCTTCAATTTTCTGATGAGAAACTCCCTCCATGAATGTGAGTTTATATTTAAGTGTAGTAATTGCTAGCTTAGTAATTACTAGTAATAGAATATTTTTAAATTACTCTTACACTAGTAATTAATGGAGAGAGGCATTAAAACAACTCTGGAGAGGCTCTAGCCAGTATTGGATTGTCTCCACTGGTAATACAAAAGCCGTCTTAGTCTCTCTGAGTTTCCCATGGCATCTAAGCTTAGGCTTTGAGAACTATCTCCAGAGAGTGAAAAATGGGTTAAATCTCAGTCTTGTGAATCCTGCTCCCTTTAACCTTGAGTGTGCCAGTTAGCTGAAGCCCCTAGTTGCTGGCCCAGCATTTCCATCACTTTTTGGTTAGGGAGTAAAAGAAAAATCCTTCTGTTGGAAGGACAAACAGAAGTCTTCCAGTTGTACTACTATACATGGCATATTCACACTTCCTTTTTCTTCTGTCTGTGTGGGGAGACCTATTTTGTGCCTTTATGAAACCTGCGTATCAGAAAGATTACAAACAAATAAAGAAAAGCTGAACTGGGAACAAAATTAGCAGCATGGAGGAGTCGAAGACAACTCCTTTTCCAAGTTGCCTTTTAGGTTAATAGCTGCCTGAGCATGGGACTGTAGAAAAGACTGTCAGGTTCAATAATGAAAACTGTTGAAATAAACATTATTCTCTTCCTGTGAATGTTGAAACAGAGAGAAGTAGAATGGAGTCAGTCCCAGAGCCACAAGTCTTTCCTGGCTGATGACAGGTTACATTTTTAAGGCCAGTTTTGTGTAGCACTCATGTCATTTTTCTCCCCGGCATTTGCACAGTAATGTCTGTAAGGAAGATGTTAAGTGGAAGAGTTAAAGCTTGCTGTCTTGTTCC